CAGACCTTGGCCGCCGTGAGGGCGGGTAGGAACGCGACGAAGACGCGTCTGCTGTGGTTCCCAGGAATTGTGCTAAGGATGACTGGTATGGCTACCCAAACAGGACGCAAGAAAGGAGCCGTCCACAATACATGCGGCTTCGTGCCAAGTTCGAAGGAAATTTGGTCTAAGATTAGGGTGAGGTCAAGCGCTAGGTTTAAGCTTGAGGTTAAGCGCAGGATTATGTACGGCCGCGTAAACATGCCAGGGGAGTAGGAACGTCCCGCCCATTTTATATAGGTGGCTTTGTGATACATATCAGGAGGGGTAAATATTCCCGTGTCTTTACCCTAACATGAAACTAAACTGTCACTTTAATCATAACCCTAGTCCTACCCAAAGCATAAAGCCTAAACCCTTCAGCTAACACGAACCCAAACCTAAATCCTTAACATAACGCTTACCCTAATCCTAACCCCAACTTCACACCCAACCCTCAAATTGGTCCCAAACCCTGTTTCTCGGGAACTTGGCGAAAAACCACATGTATTATGGGCGCTTCTTTTTCTTCTGTCCTGTTTAGGCAGCCATCCAGGTCCTCCTTACTAATGAATTTTCAACAAGTTATGAAGATCCTAGGGACGAGGACTTCGAGTTTCTCCCCAAAATGACAATTTACGTGCACTGCTAAACTCACAAATCTGAAAATAAGGGTTAGATGACAAATTCGACTATTCGGTATTATTCTGCGCATCTGAAGAGGCGGATGGCTTGGGCGCTTAGCGCTTCCTGACGACTTTCAAAGAACTATTATTTACCGAGTCATAAGCAAAGGGTGTTCGGCGAAGATCGGGATTGTTGCCTCACGTAGCTTTTATTCCTATAAAATAGCTACTTGTGTCATTCGCACATTCCTCCTCAAGCCTCTCTCAAGTGGTACCACTCGGATTGGCGTTCGGTTTAGGCGATTGAGGTGAGGGTTAGGTTTTGGACATGCACTTGGAGTAAGTACTTTAGGCTTAGGCTACGAAAGTTGTAAACTTCAGTTATACCTTCAGTCGCGGCCGTCACAAGATTGGAATTTAACGACTTAATCTTCTTACTTTCTTATAAAAGTTAATTGAGTCTCAAAGGGTTGGGATCAGCTCGCCTGGCATATCTAACCACTGCCCTGCGTTTTCATTTTTTTCATGCGTTTACAGCGCTTGCCTTCCATTATTTAAAGTAGTGCGCGCACGTTTTTGCTCGTTATTAGTGGGTGTATTTAAACAAGGTGATGGCCATCAACCCCGTACACTTAGTACAGCGGTCATTGCCTCCTGTCTTCTCAGTGGGGGCACATATCCCATTGTCATCAGGTGTTCTAACCTAAGTAGCCCTCGAGGTCACAGGTAGCATGAGAGTCGGCTAGTCGCATTTGATTTGCTACATTTTACAGACATAAATGCCTTAGTGTTCTATGTCTCAGATGCGTACTAATTTTTCCCCAAAACATAATCATACTATTCCGTGTCTAGGTGATGGTTTATTCCTTTTTAAAACATGCCCGAAACTATCGCTTCCATATCTAGTGGAAGGAGGAATTAACAAGACCGAAAAGTGTAGTCTAGGCTGCAGTCTGTCGGCCAGTCGGTATCGTGCACCGGCTAACATTATGGGTCAGGAGTCTGTGGGAGTCCCGATGGGGAGGGAGGGGAGAGTGCTTTACCAGATTGACAGGCTACCTCAGGTGGCTACCTCGCAGTGACCCTATCAGGCACACAACTTCCTCCTAGATGCCAAGACGTTCTACTGAACCCAGCGACTACAACCCCAGCAACAGCGTTGACTGGCAGATAGTATGTCAGCCGGGGAGTTTGTGTATGTAGGCTAATCCGATCAGTAAGGAACACCCGGCCGGGGGAGGGGAAGGAATGGGGGAGGGAAAAGCGACCTCATTTTTTCCCCTCCAGGTGTACCTTAGGATGGGTTTGCTTTGTCGTCTCACTGCAACAAGAACCTAGGCTAGACTGGGGTGAAGGCTTTACAAGTCTCCCCCCTTCCACCGTAGTCCAGTCCGCGTGCAAGGTTGTTTTTCCTCTAGGGGTAATGGTGATTATTATTGTGAAGAGGAAGAAGAAGAGGGAGGAGAAACAATAATTTTATCGGCCCGAAATCAGGTAAGGAGACGGTGTGCAGTCACAATGCCACTGCATCCTATCCTAATTAGCAGCTTCAACACCACCCGCGGGTGATCGTATGTAGCTGTTGTAATGGCTTACGTGCCCACCATTAGTTTGTTTGAATGCAAAAACAAACGCGGACACGCGCGCGCTATTTTGAATACTGCAAATCGGTCACTGCAAACGCCCTACCGGTCGTTAATAGCCGCAGATTCATCATAATTGTTGGGTTATGGAGTGATATTGACGTGTTGTCCTGATACCATCGCTAGAAGTGGTGTTTGCCTCCGCAATTCCCTTCGTGCGCACATTGGGCTTACACTCGGTGAGCGATTCCATGAAAGATTAACCGATATTCCGAAATATGTTCTCGATTAGAAAAAAAACAATTGAGTTGTAATATTGATCATCGGACCGTATAAATTCGTGCTATTTCAGAAAGGCCGGGATACCGGTCTTCGATTACATTTCCTTTTGGCAGTCTGCAAGAATTACACTGCCTGAAAAAGGAGGGATTTTTATTCATTTTAGACACCCTCATAACGTCAAGTATATTTTATAGAAGCGTGCACACGAATATGCTTTCTTTTGTTTATCGAATAGCCAATCACTTCTTCAGCCTAGTAGTCATTCTGGTGGATTCTAGATGATTGCTTAGGAAATACTGCTTGGGCAGTGAACTTGCTGTCCCGTATTGGTGGATTCCTTATGAGCGGCAAAGTTGGGCGGGTAATATCGATCCAAGTGTGATTAAACTCACGGCGTAAAGCGCGAGCATTCGTAGCTCAAGTAGGTAGAGCATTGGCTTGCGTAAAAGGCTTCCCTCCTACGCGGGTTCGAATCCCGCCGAATGCCGCGAGTTTTTTCACAAATGGGTCAACTATATTACGTCTTCTTAAAGTATTATACTTGAATAAAGGGTATCTTCCATAATAAAAAATCCTATAAATTGTTGAATACTTTTAAGGGCATCGACAGTAAGTCGAAAAATGCACACTACATAAGTAGTCATTTTTACAGTGTGTGTTGCTTAAGACAGATGGAAGGTAACTTGTTAAAAAGTGGACATCCGTCAGTGACTGAAACATAATGGGTTCATGCCCTACGATAATAATTATTACAATTCTATTTAGACTACCTGTTCTTACCGAAAACATTTTTCACTATAATTTTGAACCCAACGCGCAGTCACGCACGCATTCAGGTTTATTTTCTGTGTAAGGAAAATCTTATAACTATATACGCTAGGAAGAAAAGGTAACGTGGGACTCTTACAAATTTGCATTGAATAGCGATCATATGGTATATTTTACACAGCATTAATAAACGGAAACATACGATGCTACATGAAGAGAAATCTCAGGGTGTTAAAAAACTTATTTAAACTGAAAGATACCCTTTTGTCAAATAATAAAAAAACACTGAAAAAACGTAATTTGCTGCCAAATAAGTAGAAGAAAGAACATTTGTATGCGTAGTACCTACAAAATATATTGTAATTTATAAGGGCGTCGAAATTCAGTGAAACAATGCATACTAATTAAGTACTCATTTTTACAGAATGTATTTCTTAAGGCGGACAGGAGCTAGCTTGTTCAAAAGCCGTCACTCTGACCTGGCTGAAATATCTTGCGATTATGCTACATAGTAATTAATATTAGGAGTTTAAATGGACGCTTTTATTCAAAATCGAAAGCACATTTCAGAATATCGTTTGAGGTTTGTGAGCTGGTATAGCTTCTATATGTTCACACAAAGGGGATCAGTGGTAGTATTTCTGTTACTATCTGTGCATTGTTGTTTTAAAATAAAAAACGGGCGGCATATACGAGCTCTGTTTAATTCCCTAACCTTACCAGTAGCAGTCTGTTTGTTGTAATTTTAATCTGATTGGAAAGCACTCTTATACCAATACCCAACTTTTTGTCCATTTCTTTCAGTGGAAATCCAATGCACGGACCGTGCGAAGTATTAGGTCGACAGTGTTTAAAATTCCGCAGCTGTGCCTGTCCCAAACGCGACAAGGACAACAACGAAAGACGCATTGCTCAGGACATGGTTGAGTCTGGACTGAATGGCACTGGCCAGGTTCCAACTTCTAAACGACGTCGAGAAGGAGGTGAGTTTTCGAGGTGTTTTTGGGTTCCCTGGGGAGTAGACGGGTATCCCTTAAGGAACCATATCAAAATATGCCGTGGGTTATGCAGTAACTACCGTTCCACCCACAGTAGTAAGACCTACCCAAATTCCTCCAACCCTGACTGCGAACGATATGAGACTAGTTAGAACAGTTAGTATCTGTTGCCCTTGTCATAAATACGCCTAATTGATGAGGATATAATACTTTATAACAACGAGCAAACCTAAACCATCGAATCCGGTGATACGAGACTGGTCGTAAGAAGAGGTTTTACGAATGGCTGTAGGAAACTAAGGACTCCGCGCAAGGAAAATTAGAAATAGCATGATAACTGATGATTTTGTTTAAATAAACAAAGAGGCCTTAGGAAACGATCGCGTAAATACAAGCACCCGTCCGCAGTAAGCTTACATTCGACAAGAAAATTCAAAGCTAACCGGCAAAGAACATGTTCGACGAAGGAGGGCATGCAGATGAAACACTGGAACACCTTAATTCTTAGCTCTGAGCCTAAACCTAAGCCCTAACCATAAACCCTAAGTCTAATCCGCAAGCAGTAAAACCCTAAATATGGCCCCCAACTCTAACCATAACACTTTTTTCATACCTCTAAGTTCTAACCCTAAAACTCAGCCCCGAAACCCATTTCCTAATCCTTTTAAAAATTTCAACTCTTTACAGCAGTCATAAAACGAAATCCTAAACGTAAGTCGCGATCCAAACCTTACAGCTTAAGGATACCCAAACAAAATGACTACTTAAATCAAATACGTAGCTGCCTTACAGTAAGAAACCACTGCACTTATATATTAGATACTTACCGTATCACTTTTGTCAACTAAGGTGGTGAACGAGCTCAACGTGGGTCACGAAACAACTCTTCGAATGGTATAACGCCGAGGGGCAAGGGTTTCAATGAGAACTGCAACGAACGAGTGAGCCCTACCTACTCAACCAAGCTACCAGTATACCGTGACCATCTAAGTGGACTGAGATTAGACAGTGATTTCGCCATGGTGGATGATCTCAGATCTGCCGGCAGTTCGGCCTTTGACGACAGGCAAAACATGATCCAACTGAACGGTGAGACTTTTCACGTGATTCTCATGCCGGCTTACTTGCCCGGTGGGGCATCAACTCTGCGCCAGATGAGGTCAGCCCTGCTGAAGACCTTCTACGCGGCAAAGGACCTCCAGTCAGCTGCCAGTGGCTTCCTTTCGCGCGATGCGCACGACCAGGATCAGAAGTTGATTTCCGACGAGAGTTGTTTCGTGATTGAGAACAAGCAGTCATCGATCTACGAGGACAGTTTCATACAATTTATCCAGAATGTCGAGGGGAAAGCTGCCTCCCTGATGTGAGTTTACTCTTTCTCCCTACTGCATTTTAACACTCCCTCTTGTTGAAGCGACTGATGACATCGGCGATGGTACACAGGGTTGGATAAATCACCTGCGATAGCTTTTCAAAGAGGTTAACGCCGGAAAAGACCTTTAAACACAACAGCAAACACGCATGTATGAATATAGTAA